CTGCAACTCCTGTGAAGCTCTCTTCGTCCAAAAAATCCAACCTAGACTAACTTAGTCCTGAATAATCCGGTTTAGATGGTCTTAAAACCATATTTTGTTCACCCAGGATGCGTAGATGACGATGATGCCCTCCTCGATTCGACGCCTTTCCATTCCGGCAGTAGAACAGCCGCTGCCTTCACACAGAGGCACGTGGAAGAGTCATGGCTACATTTACTGCTAGCTGGAGACTTCACGAAGCTGAAAGACTTGACTGTCTGCAACTTTGACTTCTTACTGGCTGCTGTAAGTATTGACTTTACACTTTCACACTGTTATAAAAATTTTCTGGCATTAAGTCATCTCTCGTTTAAAGTTTTATGTAACTTAAAAAAACCCGAATTGCCTAAGATGGAAATCCCACCTTTAAAAATCGACTTTACACTGCAGGTATACAACTTATGTGGGTTAGTTGTATCTGGGTTCATTGTATCTTTTTACTTTATATTGAATTTTATCTAGGGAGAATATCGAAATTTTATAGGTACCTAATCGTGACTTATCTGCTTTATTCAAAAGGAATAAATTCTTAAGTTGAAGGAACAGAAGTTTTGCCGTCGAAGTTGCAATCTCGGATTCCACTTAAAATAAAATTGCAATGTAACTGCTCTTACTATCATAAAAATCGTTTATTTACATTGAACTAGATTTAAAGTGCTAAAACTTTTGAATGCACTGCTCACTTTGATTTTAAAATGAATATNGTTTACCTGCGGCGCAAAGACGGTGACCCATACATCTTGGTGAAGAACGAAGGACAGCTCTCCGATTTGAAGAACCAGAAATGACTAGACTTAGGATATTTATTGTTTTTTATTAATAATAGTTTTAAAAAAAATATTTTCTAATATAAGGTACGCAATTGTTTTGAACAAATCTTATCACTTTTACACACACACTTACACACACACAAGCAACACATCCAAAGCTCTCACTATTATTTTATTATCTCAATCATTTAGCAATCATAACGAGCATCAATATATCAATCCCATTAAAAAAATATTAAAATATCAGAATAAATATTATTATAGTAACATTATATGCAATTATAAATCAATAACCACGGTAATAGAGTACTATAGAACATTATGTAGACCTATCGATCACAATATAAATAATAATAAAAAACTGTCGCAATCAATTATGGTCCACCCACTGATTATTATATTTAAAAGGCGCTAATTTAAATGAGTTACTTGTCAATTTGGACAATATCAAACCAGCTGAATTCAAAATTTGTGAACCTGAAGAAATGCGGACCGTAATAGAACAAACAAATAATTATACCAATATATTATGCCAAAACATACGCAGCATTAAACGTAATTACGATGGACTTACTGTCCTTTTAAATAGGATAAATATAAACTTCGACTTAATTATACTAACCGAATGTTGGCTCTCTTGTTCTGGTAACATCCCTCCACTTGAATCATACTCGACACACGTTACTAAGCAAACATTTAATCAGAATGATGGAGTTCTAATCTACGTAAAAGACAACTTATCATGCAAAATAGAAGAACCATCATTCTCTGAAGCTAACTGCCTAACTATTAAGCTTGGATTGCACACTGTGGTGATAGGCATTTATCGCCCCCACTGCTTTAAGCATGACTCAACTAAATTCCTATATTCCCTAAACAAACTTTTAAACGAAGTAAAATCGTACAAAAATATAATAATCACAGGTGATATAAATATTGATATTTCCCCAAATGGTATAAATCAACAAGGAGAGCAATACTTACATTTGTTAGCATCGCATGAACTACTCCCTACTTTCACAACACCAACTAGATCAAATTCTTGTATAGACCATTTGTTTCTCAAAACAAAACAGCCTGCGATGTCATTTATTGTCCAGACTTGCCTTACCGACCACGAAGCTGTAGCCCTTAGCCTTCAATTAAAACAAACTAAATCTAAATCTTATAAGACTATAACTAAAATTGATCATATTGGCCTTAAACAGTCCCTATCGGAAGCTGACTTAAGTCATATTTATGAAATCGAAAATGTTGAGGATGCCGCAAACTTTCTGGTGGGGACTCTTTCAGATTTATTGAAAAAAAACACAAAAACACACCGAGTAGCACATAGAAGGGTAGTGGTAAAGCCTTGGATAACTCCGGGTATTCTTAAATGTATGAGAAATCGGGATAAAATGCACAAACAACTAAAACTAACACCAAACGACGAAATTTTAAAGTTGACATACCGTAGGTATAGAAATTACTGTAATGATTTATTGAAAAAAATTAAAAAGCAGTATCAAACAGACGAACTCAAAAAGGCTGGAGGTAACAATAAAAAAATCTGGGAATTAGTAAAAAAGGCAACAAATCTACAAAAAAGTAAAGTTGAAGCTAATGACCTACTGTCGCAATGTCCAACACCACAAGCATCCGTTGACTACGTGAATGATTTTTTTGTTGGCATTGGTGCTAAACTAGCTGATAAAATCTTAAAAAATAACTATAGCTCACCAGTAATAAGCACAAAGGCCAAAAATTCATTTGTTTTATTGGAAACGGACTATGAGGAAGTTGAAAAAACCATTCTCTCACTGAAATCAAATAGTGCTATTGGCTGGGATGGTATATCGGCAGATATACTCAAGACACACAGAGATATTCTTGTTCCTCCGATCACCTACTTGTGCAATGCCTGTTTTTTGTCTGGCACTTTTCCTAACGCTTTCAAGAAAAGTATTCTCCGTCCGATTTTTAAAGGTGGCGAAAAGGACAATGTCTCAAACTATCGTCCAATCTCTATCCTTACATCCTTATCTAAGATTATAGAACGTATGATCAATAAGAGGCTTACCAACTATCTTGAGTCGAACGGACTTCTATCAGATAGACAATATGGTTTTCGTGCAGGAAAATCCACTGATGAAGCCGTTCACGAGCTCACTGATTGTATTGTTCGGGGTTTGGACGGTGGGAGAAAGTGTCTTGCTATATTTTTAGATTTAGCTAAGGCATTCGACACAGTCTCGGTTCCACTTCTGATAGAAAAGCTGGAAAGTATGGGTATCAGAAATATTCAATTAAATCTGTTTAAAAGCTACCTCACTGGAAGAAAACAGTGTGTTCGTATTGGAGACTTCACCAGTGACGAGGAAACAGTGAGTTTTGGCATCCCTCAAGGGAGTATATTGGGCCCTACCTTGTTTCTAATTTACATAAACGACTTGTGTTCGATGAAGTTAACTAATGGTAACATCCTATCTTTTGCGGACGACACATCACTGATTTTCAAGGGTGATACTTGGAGGGATACTTTTATTGCAGCGCAATCGGGTCTAAATGAAGTTCTTAAATGGCTAAAAGGCAATTTACTGACAATTAATACAGACAAAACTAAATATATAACATTCGGCATCCGCAAAGCGGCTCTTCCAGTGGATAAAAATCTGGCTCTTACAGCACATACTTGTATTGACACCTCTACATGTAACTGTAATAATCTTAAAAGTGCTACGAATATCAAATACTTAGGTGTTATCATTGACCAACATCTTAATTTTCGCTGCCACCTGGAACAGCTTTCTTCGAAAGCATACAAACTCACATATGTTTTTAAAATACTCCGCCACTTCGCCGATTTTGAGATAATTCGTTCAGTATATTATGCTCTATGTCAATCAGTGTTTGTTTATTGTATCTCTAGCTGGGGTGGCGCAGCCAAAACGGACCTAAAATCCCTAGAAGTTGCCCAAAGAGCCATTCTTAAAGTAGCGACCTTCAAACACTACCTTCATCCAACAAATGACCTATATAGGGAGTGGAGTGTACTCTCAATCCGACAGCTATTCATACTCCAAATAATATTAAAACAACACTCAAAAACATCTTATGACCCCAGGACACAACTAATTAGACGTAAAGATATTGTATGTACTCTTAAAGGGTTTAGAACAACTTTTGCCAAAAAATTCTTTTGCTTTTTGGGACCATATCTATATAACAAAATTAATCGTTTACTTAATATATATCCACTAACAAAAGTAGAATGCAAGAAACTTCTAACCGAATGGTTAATATCTAAAAATTACGAAGAAAGTGAGGCTTTTATTAAAACAATACAATAACTAACACATAACACACACCCACACACACACACACGCACGCACTCACACACACACACACACACACACACACACACACACACGCACGCACATACACACACACACTTACACAAAAGATTAGAAAGAAAGATTGCTTTTAAAGTTAAAGTTTAAATTTTTGAAATAGTACTTCTTATCACTTATCATTTATTTTGCCTATTTGTGTAAATCACATGTTATCATTCCATTTTTTATTTATTTTATTTTTAGTTTGTTTCTAATATAAAATACTTACCTTAAATAGATTAACACAACCACGCAGTATCGATTAGCCGGTGGTGGAGGCCTGGTGTGCTGTAGCACAGGGTATCCTAGTACGGACACCAGTCTCTACGAAATACTTATTTTTGTTCCTTGTTGTTATAATTACCCGTTACAAATTGTGACTTTATGTATTTTGTAAAGAGAGAAATAAATAAAGTTATTATTATTATTATTATTATTATTATTAGATACCTCTACCAAAAAGGCCGTATCCGCCGTCTGTTTATTCGTGTTACAAATCCTAATCATACTGTACTTGGACTTAATTTATTTAGTTTTTTAGTCATGTTTTTAATCGTACAATCATAATAAAGATTAATGACCGGCGGACTACACAACTTTGCATAAGATTAGTGAGTAAGGATTTTCAATTGAATGATAAACAATATTTTGCAAACGGAACGGCCTGTCATACCAGGGATATTTATTGGCCATCAATAAATGCTTTACTCTGTTCTGGGCAATAAATCAACCACAGGACTGCGGTTGGAATGTTTGCCAAAGTGATTTGCTCAAACGTTTGTTTCGGCAATTAAGGGTTAACGTTAAATATTTACAGCAAAGCGAGGGAGAGTCGAATGAGGAAAATACACCCGTGAGCGTGTCAGCGGCCGTAGCCGCGCAACAGGCCGCCGCGGTGGTCGCACAGCAAGCCGCGGCCGCGCACGCAGCCGCCGCCGCCGTCAGCGCTGCCGTCGCCGCCGGCGCCAACGCCGCCGCCGCCGCCACGCCGGACAAAACACTCGTCCCTGTCTCACAAGCCTCACAACCGAAGCGATTGCACGTCTCCAACATCCCCTTCCGATTTAGAGACCCCGATCTCAGAAACATGTTTGGGGTACGTAGACACTTAGTTTTTTTATTCAAGCACGGCATGATTGATCGATGTTGTTATTAGACGATGTGGCGGCCGCAAATTTAATTTGACGTTTTATATTTCAGCAATATGGCACGATACTTGATGTAGAAATAATCTTCAATGAAAGAGGCTCAAAGGTAAGCATTTTATAGGCCCATAAATAAAGTGGCTCCCTGAAATCCATTCCATGGGTGGATTTCATTGTGGCTACTTTTTATTATCACTTTATATACTGTATTATTGAAAAATCAGCAAAGCAATAAACTATAAAGATTTTTTCTCAATGTAACGTACAACGAAATGTACCTTTTTCGTTTACATGAATTATTTATGAAGAACCCTTTTATGATTATTGCTTAGTTGACAATTTCGAAATACTTACAGAGTGTAAAGAACAGCTTGGCAAAACCTTGAAAAGTGAACCCAGATCATTGTCCCGAACTTAATACCAAGTCTTTCCCGGAAATGAAAACAAACATTTTGTATTCAGGTTTTTCTTTCCTTAATGTAATAACATCTCTTTTGTGCCCGTTTCAGTGCTCAAAATAGACTTTTTTAAGGATTTTGGGATGTATTTTCGCTGAACATACACTTTGTAAATGAAGTATTAAATGAAATATCGTAGTATAAAAAATATGGGATGAAATTCCAGTGGTTTACGCATAGTCTGGATTTGCTATTTTAGTTTTTACCAACCTGTCCCTTACACTCTACATATTGTTGCAATTACAGGAATAATTAATTACTAAATTTTCATAGACTGTGAAACATTTTATCGTAAAATATAGTGCATTTGGAAATGTTTACTTAGTAAATAATTTACAAATTTGAAGCCAACTGCTGGTGACATAGAACTACACAATAATGACCCTCACTCCCTCCTACAAGTGCGAGTAAGACGCATTGTTGTTGTCTCTACGTTACTCATCAGTCCTAAAGAATGCGTACATTATGGAAATAATTGTCATTAAATATTCCTGTGATTATTTATAAGTTTGATATTCATAGCTATTGCTTTAATTTAAATATTTCAACGTAATACAATTCAAACTTTTATTTTAAGATCAATACGAGAATTTGCCAATTTTAAAGAATATTTTTATACACTGCAGTAGCTAAGAAATCTAACTAACACTAGTAATTAGTATTTCTGCCCAAACTAAAATAACAATAAGTAAATGACCCTATACAATGAAATTTTCTCTTCTCTTTCAATTCATGTGATTTGTTAATTAATAGCTTAACAGATCTAAAGGCAAATGGGCTTAGTATTAAAATAATAATTTAATTTATTAATCATGTTTTAAACAAGACTATTTTCATAGCGTATTCTTGGTTTTAATGTTTGGTGCAGTATCTCTAATTGCATTGTATATTATCATTGAATAATAAATAATTAAAAGTCTATTATTCTGATTTTACAAATCTGATCTATGATTTCTCTAAAAATGACTGTGACATACTTTTATATCAATTTACTTTTATGTTATTGACTCTGTAATCTGTCTTGCTTAAAAATACAATTTAAAAAGTAAGTCACAGGAGCAGCTGTTAATCTGAACATAATTTTAATAATGATACTCAAAAAACAACTCACTGTAAATGACAATTTCCCATAAATTTGTGAAAATTTTACGAAACCATTTTATAATTGATTGGATTGAACGCTTTTTCGTGTTACTGCTTTCCTTGTGTCCGTTTGGTGACCGCCCCTGAAGTAGTCCATGCTCGCTCATGTCAACAAGTATTTTTACTCTTTTGGAATAATAGCTCCGAATTATTTTTTCTTCAATGCCTCACATTGGGATATGCAGTATTAGAGAATGATGCATCGTCACTATAACAGCTGATTTCCTAAGTCATATTTTTTCAGGACAGCTCTATTATTCATGACTAATAATATTGTTGTAATTTGTAATCGTCCAAACTACTCAACGAACAAATATTCTGGTCCATAATGTAACTGGGAGACCTGTAGAGTCTTCTCTCAAGAATAGATCAAGCCTGTGATTGATCTCAGTATTGAATCGATCAGACGCTTAGTCTATGCTTGAATCGATGTTCGAACATCATTTAAGAATACGACCCTAAAACTAATTTACAATTGGTTATATTCCGTGATCATAATGTGCAAGTTTTCAAAATTATATGTTTTCTCTCTTGTTCAATGTGCTTGTAGTTTGGATGACGAATCATTCTGAAGTTCCTACTTAATCCAATTTAGTTAGACTCTCTTATACATTAATATCCTGTCCATTATAACTTACTTAAAAACCGGTTTGTAAGTCATACGCTTCCTAACAAGGGAACATGATTTTCATTAGTTTTGAGCATGTACATTCCGCTGACCTAAACAATGTGTTAATAAGTTTAAAAATTGTAAATTATATCTAGAAGTAACTGGTGCATCATTTAGTTTGGCTTATTTCAAATGTCACTCGTGTCTTCTTCGTCTATCGGTTAGAATTTGATGTTTTTCATTAATAATGAGAGCCTGGAGGGCTCGGGCCGCGGCCGCGCCGACCCGCGCGTCGAGGCTGCAGAGGCTCGCAGTACCCTCCACCTCATTATTAATTTACCTCTCTTGACCTCTCTTTCTCTCTGCCCAGATCATTGTTTACCTAATAATTACTTGCACTCAGAATGGTAATAATAGAGCTGTCATTGCTTTTATAAGTGTAAGCGTTTCGTACAATCAGCGACTTGTTTGCCACTTTCACAACTCGTCTCTTCCACTATGATGTGTGCTGTGCTAGCTGCTTTTTGTATCTATGGGTTATCACCATGTATTGACAGTAGTTAATTTGTCTTAGCACGACCTATTGATACAAGTGATTTAATGAAATTATTATCATGTGTTTTGATTTGTATGCAGTTTTACGTCTTTTAATTATTAAATACTGACTTTTGTTTATTTTTTAACTCACGTAAAGTTGTTAATAACGAACGACATAAACCTGCGGCATTCCCAAGATATTAATATTGTTGTATCGACAATGTATCAAGTTTTTAATAGTTTTTGGCACTGTACAGTATTGCACAATGTTATAAAGTACAGTAGGTACCTACCCGTTAGTGTGTCAATGAGTTAGTACGTGTATATGTATAGGCTGTTGGTTGTTGAATGGCGAATTTAGATATTGGAAGTTTTCAGTTGAAATGTGTTTTTGCTCCGTGAATTCTGTATCTTCCTCCATGTAACACATGTCAGAGACCGACTCCCAGCCACAGTGTTGGTTGCTCCGCTCCGATTAGTCCATATTAGTGATTGATGCATGATCGGTGACTTTTCTGTATAGATCAAACTGCAGCTAACATTCCACACGAAGTTTACTTGTCATTTTGATTCAAGTAGTGTCTTTCAATTAGCTTCGAAGAGATTCCTCGATCCTGACATACACAGCAATACGAACTGTCCTACAATTAGTAAAGACCACTTGGTCGAGCGACTTTATATTAATTTATTGTAATCCAAATGCTTATGTGTACCCATTCAGCTAGAATACGCTCAAAGTATCAACGTAATCAAATCAATAATATCCTATCAATATTTTCACTAGAATATTTAAATAAAGAATATGCAATGCATAAATGTTAATTTTTGTTGCACGTTGTTTTTTGAGCGACGCTGTTTTTAATGCATGTTTTGTCTGTCTTGCATGCAGGGATTCGGTTTTGTAACATTCGCAAATAGTGGTGATGCGGAGCGAGCACGAGAGCGTCTTCACGGCACCGTGGTTGAGGGCAGAAAGATAGAGGTGTGCATGACTCAATGAATACCATCCGTAGCACTATGTAACTTATAACATCCCGCTCCTACGCCACGCCCACCGCAACCTGCGCTCGTCTGCTCTGTAGTATTGTCACGCTAGCGCCGGCCGCCGCGCGCCGCGCCAGCCGCGCCTTAGCACTAAGTATGCCGACATCTAATCCACAAACAAACCTTATTTATTTTATCCCTTTACTCTCTAGACGGTCATTTAATATGCCGATCGAATGAGAGAGTCTCACAGAGAATGTAGAACGAACCGTACCGTCAATGCCGCAGAGGTAAGATTACAAATACAAATTTTAGTCCATTATAATATCTATTTGTTCTGAAACACACAAAGTACTAACATGATAATGATGACTTTGTGACATTCATTTTTTTATTTTCGAAAATTCAATCCCGTATGGTTTTCCTCCTCATTCCTTTCAACACCTTCCAGTGTCAAACGTCTTACGCAATAGAGTTACCTAAATTGTTGTAGCTATTTCTGGAAATTCAAACTAATTTTGAAATCTCTTGCCAATACTTTGCAAAGACCTTTGACACGAACATTGGCTGACTTTACTGTACTATTAATAGCTTACTACTAACTATTTTTCTTGTATATTTTTATTATAAATGTCAAGTAAAGCAAAAATGGGTTCGAATCCCGTTGGTTAACTTTAAATATCAAAGTATAAATTTTTGAAAGTAAATAAAATATTATTTAATACATATTAGTAAGTAGAGTAAAAATATAATTCAGTTTACTTTTGTTTTGTTTGCTTTAATTAGTTAATTTCTTTTATTTGAAAGTCAGCCAAATCTGTTTTTTTAGACTTAAAAACATGTTCTGACATAATGTTTACTTCCAAATCAGGTTAATAATGCTACAGCGAGAGTGCAGACAAAGAAACCACCAACTGTACCCAACGGTGAGTGAGAATTATTACCTTTACTAATTTTATTTTTATTTCATTGATAATGATCTACCAACCAGTTATTTAAATATAATATAAAAAACACATTTGTGAACTCTCTTTTGCATTATTAGCTTAACGCATTCTATAAAATTACAAACTAACATTAACTCAGTAGATTTCCCCTCACAGTTTACAATATTATGACTGCAAGTTTCACACTAACTGATGTCTTATAATAAATTTAACCGCCCACACTTGTAATGACATATAATGCATCTTGGGATTTTTCTCTTTAACCCATCCAGTCATACTGACTAGAAACGGATCAGTTCCCACTCTGGGTGAGAGAGCTGGATTTATAAAGATCGGTGTTGTCCACTTCAATGTAACTTTACATGTTGGCTAGATCCGTTGTCTGAATGCAACTAGGTGAATGCTATTTAGAGAATGAGTCCACTGTCAGCAGCCGGAGACAGTCTGCGCCTGGGCACGCGGGCGAACTTGCGCAGTTGCGTTATGCACTCAATATCACATTACACTAAAAGCTATTATCACATGACCTCGTTACTCTTAAACTCATCCACCGCTACGGTTCACTTTGTTTGGTTCTGACGCGCCAGTAGTTGACATGTCTAGGCTGTCTCCGGCCTCACTGTTTGCCTGAAGACATCTCTGTGTCCGAACGAAAACACCCAACTATTAGACGGCTTGCTAGATCCATATTATACACCTTCTTTAAGCTATTGACAAGATATGATTACTGTTAATTATCTTGACGTTTGCTGGAATGAATGTTATTTCGGTCTTGCACTGTCAATTTCAATTTTGTAGTTGAGAATGTGTTAGGTTTGTCTTTTATGTGTCTAGCCTTAGAAGTGCCGATTAATTTATAGCTCATTTCTAATTTATTCAAATTTATTTTGTTTCAGTGTGCGTCCCATGGCCTGAAGGTAAGACAGAAAGAAATAATTATGTATGATATATCATTTATTCAATCAAAAGCTTTCGCGTTTACATTAATAATTGTAACATTCATACGAGCATGATTTTTCTTTACTTAATGTGGTGGGAATATGCGGTTGATTAGATTTGTTGCTCGATGAAATGAATGTAACCTGTCGAATTTACAGCATTGGTAAAGTTGCCCCGACGGCCATGTTTCTTTAGAGCAGTAAAACTTAACCGAGTCATCCTCGGTCCTCGGTCACCGTGTTGGCCAGGCATATTTAACGTGGACATTTATCAATAATAAAGAATACGCGATCAGATAAGCTGTAACGCAGCATGGCCATATGATCCTGATTCTGTTTAATTTGTGAATTATGTCTGAACGCTCAGCATCGTCATTTGATTCGCATCCTAGTGCATATTTAGAGTAACATAGTTTATTTCGTGAATAACGTATGTACGAGCGATGTATTTACTCGCTTTTCGACTATAACTACTAAAACACCTAATAGCAGTTGTGCGTCGGCGTTCCTTTCGAATGTGGCATTTCTTTGCTGCAGTTTACAGTAACGAATTGAACTCTGTATAGACTGGGGACATCGACATTAAAGTCGTGGATTAATGGTAACCAAACTTGCATATTCAGTCTGGCAAGCAAATATCGAAAACCATTCATTTATTGCTCCATCGTAAACGAGAGGTGATGAAGGGTTTCGATGGTGTAGTTAGGGTTGCCAACTTTTCTTTCAAAATATAAAGTATATCAGAGGTCGGAGAAGGAAAACAGACAGTATTAAAAAAAAAAAAAAACAGTATAGCTCTACAACGCGTACTTAAATGTGGTGTTGGGCATTTACTTTTAAAAATATCTATGGATACTAGTGATGCTAGCTGAAAACAGTATTTTGTATACTTTATTTTTGTTCAACAGTAAAAAGTATAATTTAGTGAAAAACAGTATAATACTGTTCAAAACAGTATAGTTGGCAACCCTAGGTGTAGTTCATACTGAAATAATCGGGGTTAAACGGGCGATACCGAGTTGCGAGGGTATAGAGGCGCGATGTATGCGCAGGGCTGCGGGTGTCCGGCGTGACGTGGCCCTGGCTCGGCGCGGCGCCGGCGGCCGCGCCCGCGCCGCCGCTCGTGCTGGCGCCGCGCGCCGCCCAGCGACGCAGGTACCCCCTCCCCGCATGTTAGCTCTCCCGTGTGTTGCATGTAGCGGCCGGGCTGCGCCGCGCGCCCCGCCCCGCCGCGCCCCCGCCCCCGCCCCCGCACAACCACGTGACTCTCCCGCACGTCCTGCCCCGCGCCGCCGCCTACGCGACGCAGTTGCACGCGTATGCACCGTGAGTACCCACACTAGCCACCCGCCCGCGCCAGGCGCCATCGACCTACCCGCGCTCCCAGTTCCTTTCACATTAGTTTCTTAAATTAATTCATTTCATTACTTTTGCTCAATTTATACAGGGTGTTAGGTAAATGGGTATATGAGCCGACACTAGCCCATGTTAACATAGGCATATAAATGGTATGGTGAAGTCAGAAATTTGATATCTTCATTTTAATTATTTTAATTTTCATACAAAATAATTTGATAAAATCCGATTTGTATGAAAATTAAAAAAATTACAATGATGATATCAAATTTCTGACTTCACCATACCATTTATATGACCATGTTAACATGGGCTAGTGTCGGCTCATATACCCATTTACCTAACACCCTGTATTGTAAGGCACTTATTTTATTATTTTTGTTAAATTTAATAGTGCTATTGATTTTTAGTGTTTATAAAATTTAAACCACTACCTTTTCATTGTCTATCTTTGCCAATAAAAACAATGTTACACATTATTTGAATTAGCTGCTTTCATATCGATCAGATTTGACTTGTACTCAATTTAATAAAATACATGATATTTGATTGTTACCACCACAGGAGACCGAGCTATTGTTGTCAATATGGTCCGAAGTAACCTCACCCCTTTCCTCCCACCCTCCGAATCCTGATCCGAACCCCGTCCTTGTATGATTCACACGGTATGAAGTTTTAATACTTACACTTGTTAGATTAACGTATCAGCACAACCAACACCCGTAATTAGTTAGCACACTTGTTTGATCTGTAACTAACATTTAACAATAAACCTAACTAGTTTGCTCAAGCTCAGTAAACGCTTTACATGTTAATAATGCATAACAATAACGTAGCAAATATTATAGATGTTTAATAGTTTTGCATAACTGTTAGAAATATTATTTTAAATAGGGATGTCCCAAAACTTAGTGTAAGCAAGCAGCAAAACTAGTTTCATGAGAAATACAGAATTACTTCTGAAGAATTTAGACATTAGAATTCAATAAAAAATATAAACTAGCAATTCTTCAAGATATTTAATTGATTTGTTTGTTTAATTTCAGAATTATTTAGGTAAAACCTTAGGTTAAAGCTATGACTTATAAACATTTAATCTCATTCAGATGTAATAAAAGAGCGTAACTACTTCTGCTCTTGACACTACAGTATTGTGACGTCGTCTTAAGAAGTAGATTTTACTCGCATAATAAAATAATGTAATCAGTAGTTCGTATTTGTAGTTACTTTTGCATATTACAGTAGATTTTTTTTAATGCTTTAAGTAATTAAGGCACTCAACGTATATTTTCAAATCAAATTATTACAGATTATAATTATATTTATGTACAGATAATATTGTGTAATTACATGTGACTTCGTTTTACTTCCAGTGTATATTACGACCCATTCTTAGCAGCGGCTGCAACAGCTGACTCCAACTACAGACTTCAGGTAAAAATTACACTTATTATGATTTTATCTTTTTATATTGCTTATACAAATGTCACATCAAAGAAATTTCCCTAGGCGTTATTCAATGAGTCGAAAACCATCGTACAGAAACGAACACCTTTATTTCATGGTTACCAGATCACGAAATACAAGCAACCTGCTATGTGAAGGTAGGCGAAATGTATGATGCACCATACAAATCGCCTACATTGAGTAGGTACAGTATCAAACTTGTGATCCGCCTATACTTTTTACTTTGGACATAAAGGTGTTCGTTCATTCATAGAACCAACTTCTTATGTCTTTGCAATGTATATTTGATTAATGATGCAAGTAATGAGAGCTATGAAGGTAATTGACGTGGAGGGCCGTGGTGACCGTGCGTGTGTTGTTGCAGGCCGCGAAGCCGGCAGCAGAGGTAACCCATCTCGCCTCTAGCGCTCGGTTTCAATTGTGACTGTATCAGTATCTCTTTCGCTTCCTGATTCATGTTTACACCACGCTAGCATAAGTTGTATTATTCATCGTGAAGTGAGTGCTGGGATTTTGTTTGCTCCTTATTCGTATGGTCCTATTGGTTGGTAATCCACCGTAATGCAGGGTGCACTGTGTTTGTGATAACGAGTCGGAGAGCACTGGCGAGGCCGCCCCGCGACCGCGCGGTTTGCTTACTGTTGAGTTTATTATCCTTGTTCGTTGGTATTGTGGTGGGTGATTTAGTTTAGGCGTTTGCTCAAGCTGTGAGTTGACTCGATCTGATGCTAATTTATTATCATGCTCCGAGTAGAACATTGAGCCCACAAAATTTAATTGCAACTTTCGACGTTTACTAACAATCACCATGTAGTATAGTAACAGTATTTTTCTATTTTATTTTATTTAGTTTGTGTCGTTTTACATTATTTTGATCTTCTGTTTCTCTAATTAGTGCATGCCAATGAATCATAAAATCATCAGACCACAATTTTTTTGCGGCAAAAGCTATTTCAGAAACGCCCAGTTTGAATTTGTATTTTGTCGCAGAAAAATATGTCATCGTAGGACCGTGTGCGAGGAACGCTGCATGTTAATATGTAAATATAAGTAAAGTCTACACCGGCTCCTTATCGTGTACCTAAATAGTTTTCAATGCGTAATTCTATGCATCGTTCTAGCTTCTGTATTTCTGGCTACACAGATAAAATCTGCTATAAAATAAACTTTCTATCTCATCGGTTGGTGAGTACACCTCAAGCAAGAATATGGTAAGATAACATTTACAGGCGTTCTATCTGTTTTAAACGTGATTATATCCATAATATGTATTTTATTGATCAACTGAGCTGCAAACTCATCAGTGCTGGGGCCCGCATCATTCAGTGAATAACCAAACCACGCTATCGTGGATTGTGGGCTCATTGTTCGTTGTTTAAAGAAACACGAGTTCATTCATGAAACTGAAACGCGATGCCGTATTTATTTATTTTGATGGTTAGGCTGTGTACATATGTATTATATTAAATAACTTGATGAAAATCAGAGGGATTATTGTTTGCTTTTAATTTATTTACTAATTTCATTCAGTTTACAGTTCAGGAAATTAAGGGATTAATGTAATTGACTCTTCAAATGTTGCCGTTAGGTCATTTTACACACAAAACCTGTCTTATAACGGCTTCACCTACAGCTATCGGGTTAAGGCTCCGTCTAAAGCTTTGTTTAATAAGAACTGAAACTAAAGATGGAACTGATAACTGTCGTTGCACACGGGTAGTCGTTATAAATACTTCGCCTTTTAGCAAAGGTGTTTTAAGAATGCTACGCGTTCAGCGTAAATTTTAAATGCGCCGCATAACATGTCCGTGGTCGCGCTTGCAGGCCGCAGCGGCAGCGGCAGCGGCGGCGGCGCCCCTGCTGAAGTCGCCGCTGACGACGGCGCAGCACGCGGCGGCCGCGGCGGCGGCGGCCAACTACGGCGCCGCCGCGCGCGCAGCCGCCGCCGCCGTCAGCGCCGCGCCCGCTCCCACCGCGCTCGCGCCTCTAGCGACGTAAGTGATGCTTCCATCCAACTAATGTCTTATATTTCTTCTTTTTCATAATGACAATCAAATAACAACTGTCAGAATTCCGCCGAATAAAAAATCGGATTAAACTTAGACCTTGACACTATGTGAAGTTCGCGTGACGTCCCAGGCTTCCATTGAACTTAGGCGCGCTTTATCTCTCAATTTTCATTAGTATAAAAAAGTGAAAAATACGGACCGACTAATTCACTTTTGCTTTTTACCCAGAAACATCTCTATTGTGCCAATGTCAAGTGGAAAATTGATATACCTAACTCGAACAATAGAACATGTGTTTTAGTTCTATTGTTTTATGGATTCCGTGAAAACAAGTTTTCCGTAAGGTTTCAAGACGTCATCGGGGCGAAAGCAAATTGTTCACACGACACTCTCAATGCGTGCTTAATTAGTGAGGAGCTAAAGTAATACTTGTATGAATTTATTAAACAGTAATTTTTATTGCACACCACAAATGCTGAGATAATTATTATTCTACAAAGTTTTAGGAAAATAATAGAGAACGCTGGCATCCAGTAACTAAGCAAATTCTAAATAGTATACTGCCTACAAATTTCAGTTTTAACTCAATAGAAATTACCGAAGTTAATTAGATGCATTCTATTACAGACAGTCGATAGGGCATTTCCTAACAAATTGTCATTTAAAACGACAGTTTTTGATGCAATAAAAAATTAAATGCCACTTTCCCGGCCAAGTTTCTAAAATTACTTTTCAGGGGCTTGTAAAGACCCAACGAAACGTGAAGAATTTTCATTATTCATCGACCCTGTTATAAATAAACAACGTTTTTTGGCAGGTATGGCAGAGAATACGCAGACCCATACCTAGGGCACAGCATCGGCCCAGTCACGGGATATGGGGTAAGAAAACACTTTATTTTTTTCTTGTTGATTTGTACTTATTGTTTATTTGTGGTAATTTTTTTTCTTCTTCAAATTCGGTATATCTAAGTTCACTACATGAGTTTACCTCCCCTGTATATTAAAATTTACTTGAGTTTAACCTAATTAATTCTCCTTTTGCAGACTGCAGTCTACAGAAGCGGTTACAACAGATTTGCGCCATATTAAGCCAGTGGAACAAAGTTAACATTTTACTCGAATATGAAACTACCTTCACCTCTAACCTAACATGACAATGAACTCTCTTTGTAAACGTACAAACATAATTCATAATTAAGGTAACAGTAATAGTGCTAGCCGATTACTGTGTAAGTAAGCTTGGTAGCATAGAACTAACAGCCGACCGCCGCGGCCGGCGTCGGGAGAACTTATGAATACCAAAGTCATTAAAATTTCTAACGGAAATAGTTTATTAAGTTAAACTGTATTGTAAATTATTTGTATACCTAATGCTATACAAGTGCGAGCAGCTAAAGTAAGTGCTTTCGTTCTATTTAGATATTTGTAAGAGTTACTATTTTACTAATAACACATGAGTGAATGTGAATATCTACATAATAGTGTATGGTATTTTCTAGTGTAGATGTTAACCTTCTAATTGACAATAGAAATTTCATGTAAACGATATTTAGTGAGCTTTGCACTTGCATATCATAGAGAAAATTGTAAATAATATAAATCCAGAACACGTTTTTACTGTTTTAAACGTTAATAAAATCACTTTAAAATCGTTTCCAATCGCTCGCGTATTGCGAGGTCGATACAGGAATGTAATTCTCAATTATGTTTGATGAGACTCGTTTACAATCGCCCGCGGTTTGAACCTGAGCTCCACTAGATAGCTTCCAATCAACCCACTAGAATATTAATTCGTACCGGCCACTATTAGGTATTTATAATGCGGATTCACGTACTCTCGCATTCGCCGGGAGACAATAGAATTAACAACTCAAGAAGTACACTTCCAGAATGTGAATGTTTATATTTATAATCATTACATTTTATATGGTGCGATTTTTATACGGTGCCATTTATTTGGTTGTTGTTTTACAAATATATTTTTTCAAAAGTTACCTTCTAACCTATACATAATATTATACTGAATGAGTAATTTTAAATAGTTGTAGGATTGTTCTGCGTACCTTGTAGTACGGCGCCTCCGGCCGCCTCTCCCGGTTGTGGAGCGCCAAAGTTCATTCGTGTTCCCGAAATAGTCCTTATTTCAGCACTTGCTCTGTACATACAACTCGCTTCAAGCCGGCGTAGGTAATCTCAAGATGTTTACTTTTCAGTTGAACCTATTACCTGTAAATCGAAAGCGCTAATTAATAATTATTAATATTTTACTGAAAAGTAGGCGTAACGCTTTAGACGTAGATGTAAGAGAGAAGGGAACTCCCTCGAGTTCTCACATATCATTGAGATTTCTCCTTGTACTTTTGTTTTTGTTGTTTTCCCAACAGTGTAATTTTACAGTGCTATTTTAATACTTTTTAACCGATGTATTTTCGTTTTACGGAACAAACACGCGTACGGGTCCAACCCTTTAGACGTCGTAATGTTTAGATCTATAATAACATTTGCATTAGTGTTGTAAAGTATTGTAACATTGAATTCGCTCAACGTTTATACCAAAGCACAAAACCCATCGATTCGTACGTATCCGGAGCGTTTGCATGTCACTAACCACTTCTCAGTAGATTTCATAGTCTTTCAAATAGAAAAACTTTAAAAATCTATGAGTCACATAGATGATTCGGAACGAACAATTAATATTCTTAAGTTATATTACTGTAGTTTACTAAGTAATTTTCTCTATGGACATATCTGTTTGCCATCTAGAGTAGTCGTCGTATCTTTATCGAACAAAATGATTTTAGATCTGATAAAGTTTATTTGCTGTTACGGATGTGTCGTTCAATATGTAGTTCATTTGTAGAGAGTGTATCCTCGGAATGAGAGTGTGGCACTTTTATTTTTAAAAGTCTTCAGTTAGTTCAAGATAGGAAACAGGCACACGAACGCTACTAACATATCAAGTAACAAGTGAAGGCATGTTGAGGCCTCCGAAGTGACCCGCGCGAGTGCCCGCGGTTTTAGCTTTAACTCGCACGTGCGCGGGCGCCGCGCCCGCCGCCTCAAGTAGCAGTCCCATGACATTTTTGGTCTTGCAGATATTCTAGTCTTTACGCACAAACTACATAGTAAAGGTGCTTATTCGTAAAGAATTCATGTGATATTTACGGAATAAGTTCCGTATATCTGATCTTGATTTAAACGTATGCTCTTTCTTTTATTAGTATCTTATTTGTTAAGATCTTCGTGTCATATTTTTTTCTGTACGCTGAAGTTATACAGCTTCACTCATTTTTAGTGCCACTGGCTTTGTATTGTGTAAGTTGTAGTTATTACCTTATTTAGACGTAACTGTAGCCAGTCAAGTTGCAGCTTCGATCAACATTTTGTGCTTTACTGCTGAATACTCATGCGTGAATGTGTAATTTTAAGAAACCTATAGTTTTTTAAGTGATCTGTTTAAGTTTTTTAATGCAAGTTTTGTATCTAAGTACATTTAAAAGTACATGTGATTCTATTGATGGTTTTATGTATTAGTTTTATTAATATTTTTCTGGTGGTAACTGATGTCACAAATACTTACAGTAATAATGATTGTCGAATAAGTTTGCACAAGTAAGCTAAGCGTGTTTTTGACTAGCGGCCACAATGGAATCATTAAGTGATTGTAATTCGATTATTTGTTTTAAGAGCTAACCGTACCCTGCGTCTTAAACTCGCCGCAAACTTGATTGCTAGTGCTATGATAATAATCATTCTTTTATTATGTTAAACCATTTTAGCCATTTCAAGGTGATTACGATAATAAATCTCAAAAAACTAACTCAATTTCTCGTTTTATGCAAGACTTTTAAATCTAAGCCAAATTTTCACTTGGAGAAAAATTTGAATTTAAATGACATATCTGACAAAATGGTTAGTGTGCTACGATAAGATTTAAAAAAATCATCAAGAACAATGTATTATAAATATAATAATCATTAAATTAAGGATAATATGTATTTTGTAACGCGATTTGTTTCTCGGTTTTTATGAGATGTTAAATTAAAATTTCATACTATTCTCGTTTCTTTATGCTGTGCACAAATTATACGATCGACGGCTTCGATATTGTAATCATTAGATCTAAAATGAATTGTTAAAATATTGTGCATAATAAGTCATATCAGTAGTGTTGTTAGCGAATGTCGATGATCGCTTGGCGCCGAGCGCTCGCCCCGCGCCAGCCCCGCGCGGCACATCACACAACGTCACGTCATGGCGACTCGCTGGTTAAGGCGAGATGAGTCATGGGAACCGGATCATTGCTAGCTCTCAACAAATACCAGTTGAACGGTATCCATCGCTCTGCTCGTCTGGCCAGCGCACCCGCCAGCGAAGGCGCTAGCGCGGCCCCGAGCGCCGGCGGAGCCGCCAACTGTAAATAATGTTATCGGTGGACTCTCTACCGCATGTTGTGCATATAATTTTCCTTTTGTACCCTTTGCACCACCGGCCTGCACCACTGGTGGTGCAAAGGGTATTTTTTAATCCCTTTTGCACCACCAATAGTGCCGCCCTACCATTAACTGTAAAACGATTATCTATAATCATATAATTTTAATATTATAAAGAGGAAAGATTTGATCGTTTGTTTGTACTGAATAGGCTCCGAAACTACTGGACAGATTTGACAACATAACATAAAAATTAATAACAACCATTCATACCTACATACAACGAATAATTCCTAAAGTACCAGGGCAACATAATCATAAAGGAGCTATATCAAATTCTTCTTGGTTGATCCGAGAAATAAACATGTATCATAAATTAGCTCCTTTATGGTTATGTTGCCCTGGTACTTTAATCGTTGTATGTAGGATGTAGGCCCGGGGTATCGTGGGTCTGAAGTGAAATGTTTATAGGCACTTAAAACTTTTAGGTAGGTTTTGATTTATTTATAACATTTAAATTATTAAGTATTTTACAGTCTACTACTAGTTTTACAGTCGATGGTAGCACAGCACTATTTGTTGGTGGTGCAAGAGGGATTTAAAAATACCCTTTGCACCACCAGTGGTGCAGGCCGGTGGTGCAAAGGGTACAAAAGGATAATTTTTACCCTCGGGTTCATATTGTTAAAGTAGCCAGAGTTAATAAGTATCACTTGTTCGTCAATTGCACTCGTCGACGCTGTTCAGTTAGTGTAGTAGCGTACTCAGATATTAGCAGGGTTAAATTTTATGCCTATGTATCCGAGTGCGTAACGTTAAAGTCGTAGACGCGCCTCGCGCTCGTAGTGCACGATAGAGACATTCACGGTAGGCGCATCTACGAATTTAAGACAAATATTGTTATCTGTAATACTAAACGTGGGAACATAGGTAGACGTAGCGCATACTTTTATCGGTATCATAGAGCTCTGCCAGCTACACAATTTAGAGAAACGTTATAGAATGGTTGGGAGTAGTTTATTTTAATAATGGTAAATTACTGATGGTCGTACGTTGCGTCGCGCCACGCTGGCACGTCCGCGGCCGCCGCCGCCGCCGCCGGACCGCGCGCCGCCGCCGGTCGCCGGAGTATGCGCTACGCCGAGGGCGGGCCCTCCACTCGACCAGTATTTGGATACTAATACAGTGCTCAATTTCCATAAATGTATGTTGTACGTAATGTTAAAACTAAATGTTTTTGAAATTTAATGTGAACTACAATAGATTTGTTACATAATGAATGTCTTCCGTTTGGCACAGTTTATAGATTCAATGCACATTTTATTGTTGCACGTCGGTCCCGATGAGGAAGTGCAGTTTTAGAACGAACATTTTCGAGCCAAGTGCACAGCGAGCTCCCCTCGTACCATTTGTGATAAAGTTAATAATGAATAGAATTTCCTTTTTAGTGTGGCAATTTTTGATAAATTGCAAAGCTGATTTTCTCTTTATTGTAAATATATTTTTTTCAAAATGAGAAATATTGAATGAAGTGAATCATTTAAAGCCTTTGGCATTGTGTACTCATTTACGTTATTAATAAATTATAGTATGAATGTTTGTTTTTTATTTGGACATCACACCATCATCGCACCTTCCTATCTCTCTAAAGAATCAAATTAATCAGTAATGGAAATCGAATAAACAATTTGATCGTTATCATTGGTGACACGAAAGAATGACGTCGAGGACTTTATTATTTTTCGAACGGCGATTATCACTGAGGCACGAACGCGGCGAACGATTCGACACGACTCTACATTATAATCCGCCGCGGTAAACGAAGGAAAACTGCCAATGCCGGAGAGCGTTGATTGGGGGAGCGTGATAATATTATTAATGTTGATAAGATTGCAAGGTTCCTTGATAATAAATAGTAATCACTCCTTAGTGTGAAATAATTAAAACAATCGGAATGGCAAGATAATCTGGCGGAGTGATAACGAGTGCCGTTTTTCCAATCACGCAGTCGAAGCCCGATGCGCGAGCGCTGCCTAGCTCTCTATTTCCATAATTAGAAAAAAACAATGTGATATTTTCTGTGCCGGTGATAGATCAGAACATCAATATGGTGCTGTGTCCTCCGTTCCGGTGGTCATCCAAAGGTGGATTTTCTCTAAACAAAGTGCAACGCACGCATCCCGCTCGTCCCACACGACGCGAGACAATCGCAGTAAGTATTGGCTATAATCTGTTGTGTACCCTATAATTATTTACATTTGACCACCTAATGCTGCGTCTCCTTATCTGCAAACAATAGGTGTTAACTGATTGCAGTTATAACGCATAGAATGAAATTACACTGATTTAGACAGCTACTTTGGAAATGTAACATGACTTGGAAATACCTATTTAATATAGGTAGGGTTTGATGATTTAAAAAGATGCGTTATGTCTAAAATTATGGGGATCAGGGTAAAAATTACTTTAATCCAAAAGTCCTATTAGGTACCTAAACAAAAACGTCAGTTGTATAACAATGGTTAAAATCAGCTAGACTAGGCATATATCTACCTAAATTCTTTATTAGTACACAGTCCCTTTTCAGGGAAAGTTAAACAAGTTCCAAATAATAAATATATCGTGACTTACCACCACTTCGGAAGAACAACTGATGGACAGGTGGAAGAAGTGGCAGAAGAAACACAGTCTCATTTATATCCATAATTGTAGAGAAATGAAAGACCATTAACTTATTATGCACTTTCATTATAATTTTAATGCTTATTATCGCCGTAGAGATTAGGCATCGGGAATGTCCCTCGCCGACCTTCATATATCAAAATTGCCTTGGCATAATATTCTAGTTAATCTACTACCTACTTACCTATTTGTAAATTAAGTGCCGAATTAAATCTAAAATAAACGTACCTATGCTGAAAACGCCGCTTTCCTACAGTCTTAGACGGTAGAGCTATCACTTTGACCTTCGCTTTAACGTAAGCAGGTAAAAACTGAATCTTAACGTTCAGAAAATGTATCTGTCCTTTGCCTTCAGAAAGTTAACTGCTAGATATAATGTAATTAAGGATGTAGTTACACTGTCATTCAATAAATATTTAGAAGGTAGGTACTTAGTATAAAATAGTAAAAACATGAAGCAGGCAGTGATACCTACCACTTTCATTTAAAATCCAGCGGAAACAAAAAGCAATTTAAGAAACAATAATCAATGTATTGTAGATAGGCTACATAAAAGTAGGAATTAAGATAAAAATTAAGTATTGTGATAGTGGGTTAAATCACTGCAAAGATAACAGTAATATGAAACAAAATAATTTTACGATTTGCTTTTTTAATCTCACGTCATAGCTTTCAAAAATTAGATCTCAATTGAAGTACCTAATGTAACTTTATGTTACTTTATTTCTCTTTAAGAATGACCTTTGTTACTCGAACCTACTCATATTGAAAATGTTTTTAGGCATAAATGAGGCATCTTTATTATAGGACTTTTACGTACCTATCAATTTACTTTTTAATGTGAAATATGAATTATACCAATACATTTCAGATATTTCCCGAGGCGTTAGGAGAGTTTTCATCAAGGAGCAATGGAGAAATTACAAATGGATACTCTCCAGCGCCGAACAAGATCAGTAGCTTGTCTGCTGTTGACCCGTCCGTTATTGAAGACATCAAAAAGACCAGTGCTGTGAGCCAGCAGAGCAGAGAATCCAGATCCAGTCACATGGATGCAGACAGCGGCGTAGTGGATGACCGAAAAAGTAGTGCAGGTCGTAAGACTATTGCCGACTTAGTCCGAATTGACCCTAATAAACAAGAGCGCAAAAGAAGAGCAGTTATTGCACCCCCGGTGACCGTCGACGCCTCGGATCTACAGTATGATAAATTTGAAAAAGATCAAAGGTAAGTTTCTTTTAGACAAACAAAACACTGTCACACAGTCTTTCTGCCAACCTACCAATTTGATATAACAAACAGTCGGATACTTATTATTCAGCTACAGCTACTTCGTAGGCAAGAGGTTACTTCTACGGGAAAATGATGATTATTTAAACTACTTTGAATATTTATAGATCTGCTGCACAAATCAGTAAAGCCGTTATGGCTAATGATTTCTTGAGGAATTTGATGGACGAAGAAAGACTGAAAGCCGTTGTGGAAGCCATGAGCTCGCAGGACTGTCCAGCAGGCAGTCTCATTATCCGGGAAGGGGAGAGTGGCAGCCACCTGTACGTTTCAGCACATGGACAGTTCGAAGTCTTGAAAGGAGGCCAAGTGGTCGGCGCCTTCGGAGCCGGTGAAGCGTTTGGCGAATTAGCAATTTTATACAAAGCCAAACGATTCGCATCTATACGCTGTAAGTGAATTTTCAGATAGATCCAGTTTATTAAGTATTTATACCGTTTGATAGAGCTTGCGAAGCACTTTCAGAATCAGTAACGAGTATTTCGATAATATTTTGTGTAGTTCGAGTAAGATCACTTATCGTATCCACCCTATATACCTAACTACCTACTTATTTTTCTTTTGTGACAAACTTCAAGCAAAATGATTGACTCCATAAAAGTAGGTAATCGCTATTTATATGTATCGCAATTATTGTATCAATCAAAGTTGTTATAATAGTACAAGCTTTGCTTAGTTTGGGACTAGAAGCGCAGTGTAAAATGTCCAAGGATATTTATTTATTATTATTATAAGTAATCTGTTAATCCGCAATAAAAGATATTATTGTTTTCCATCTAAATAATCACCACAGTATTTGTTTACATCGTTCAGGTATAACAGAAGCGAAAGTATGGACGCTGGAGAGGCGAGTGTTCCAGAAGATCATGGTGCGCAGCGGGCGTCAGGAGCAAGAAGATAACGTGCGATTCCTCGCGTCAGTGCCCTTGCTGCAGGGCATCCACCCCATTGAACTCACTAAGATATCCGGGTTCTTGAAGAGGGTATGTAAATTGGGTAAATGG